AAAGGATAACAAAAAAATATTATTAACAACCCTATACACATAAATTTGACAAATAAAACTTATCAATTCCTCAAAAGAACACAAACTACTACAATTTAATAGGAAATAATTTGAACCTCCCTATACTATTAAGGTAACTAAAGTCATATTTGAAAAATCCTAAAAAAGAAATCTTTAGGCCCTGATGATTTCATTTAAAAATTCTATCAAACTTCTAAAGAATAATTAATACTAATGGTACACAATCTCTTCCAGAAAATAGAAAAGAAGTGAATATTTCCCAAGTCATTCTATGAAGCCAATATTACCTGGATACCTATAAAGGAAAAACACATCTCTGTATATCTATCCTTTATACTCACACTAATACCACTAGCATACTTCTGACACTAGGTATATAGGTTTTCTACACATCACACAATTCTCTGACACTACCTGCAACTTCATTCAATTCTGACACTATCTTCTTAGAGATAGTGGCAGATCATACACTTTATGGGTTCAGTTACACAAGACACAAGACACCACATATACACACACACACACACACACACACACACCGTTTCAGATGCCAATTACAAGTCTCAGTTTGTCACCTGTATGCCTTACCTATTAGCTATACATCAGGATTCCCATTGCCCCCTCCTTTGATTTGATAATTTTCTAAAATGGTTCATAGAACTCAGGGCACCACTTACATTTACTGGTTTATTATAAAAAATATTATGAAGAATGTTTATGAACACCCAGAGGAAGAGATGCATAAAGCAAGGTATGAGGGAAGGTGTGCAGAGCTTTCATCCCTTGCCGGGAGTGTTACCCTCCCAGGACCTTCATGTGTTCAGTAATCTGGAAGTTCTTAAACTCTGTAATATTAGAATTTTTATGGAAGCCTCATTATATAAGCACAATTAATTATTAAGTCCATCCCCAAATGGGGATGAGGCTGAAAATTCCAATCTCCTAGTCATGGCTTTATCTTTCTGGTGACAAGCCCCCATCCAGGAGCTCACCAAGAGTCATCTCAAGTGAACAAAAGATATTTCTATCAGCCAGGAAATTCCAAGGGATCTAAAAGCTCTGTGTAAGGAACTGGAATCAAAGATCAAATGTTAGAACAAAAGATGCTCATAGTATTCTTATCATTTAGGAAATTACAAGAATTTCAGGAGCTCTGTGCCAAGAACTAGAGGCAGAGAGTAATATATACTTTCTTTTATTTTATAATGCCCAAACCAGACAAAGATAGTACAAAAAAGAGAAACTCATATACTAGTATTACTTATGAAGCTAGACATGAAAATTCTTTTTAAAAAAATTCAACAATATGTAAAAACAACAATATGCCATGGCCAAACAGGGTTTATTTCAGATATTCAAGGCTGCTTCAATATTCAAAAGTTAATCAATGTGATCCACTTAAGAGGATGAAAGAAAAAACAACAAATGATTGCATTAATTGCTACAGAAAAAGTATTTGACAAAATTCACCATCATTTATGATAAAGTCTCTCAATAAATTTAGAGGGGAATATACTCAAATTGATAAAGAATATTTGTAGCTAACCTCACCCTAAGTAGTGAAAGACTGAATGCTTCCCCCTCTGAGACTGAAGATAAGGCAAAGATACCCATTCTTATCACAGCCACTTAACATAGCACTGGAAGATTTAGCCATTGCAATATAGTAAGAAAAGGAAATATAAGACATACAAATCAGAAAAGAAGACATAAAACTGCCCTTCTACTCAAATGCAATGATTGCCTAAGTGGACAATCCCAAGAAATTTGCAACAACAAAATCTCCTAAAACTAATAAGTGAATTCAGTAACATGATAGGTTTTGAGACTTGCATACAAAATAAACCATATTTCTATAGTAATGAATACATGGAACTGAAAATTAGAAATTCAATATTATGCATCAAAGCTTAAAGAAAGATATACTTAAGTGCAAATCTAACAAACATATATAGGACTTACATGCTGAACACTGAAAAGTGCTGATCAGAGAAATCATAGAAGACCTAAAAATACGGTGAGACATATTCTATTTCCAGATTGGAAGACTCAACAGAGTAAAGATACTGATTTTTATCAAAATCTCAGCAAGGTTTTTCTTGTGGACACAGACAAATTTATTGCAAAATTCATACAAAAAGCCACAAGCCCTAGTATCTAAAATAATTTTGAAAAAGAGGAATATAGTGGGAAAAATCATTCTGCCTGATTTCAATACTTACATAAGTACTGACCAAAACCAGACAATTGCGTTGGTGGTATAGTGGTGAGCATAGCTGCCTTCCAAAACCAGACAATTTTCAAGACTGTGTGGCATGTTGGACACAAAGATCAATGCATGGAACAGAACAGAAAGCCTAAGATGAAAAATGTAAAATTATCAAATTTTTAGAAAAAGATACAGAAGAAAATTTGGGGGACACTGGATTTGATAAAGAGGTATTAGACTGGACATCAAAAAATAAATATTGATAAATAGGACTGATTAAAAATTAAAAACTTTAATCTGTGAGAGCCCCTACTAAATTGATAAATAACAAGAAATAGACTAGAAGAAAATATTTGCAAGCCACTTTGACACAAGATGGGTATCTAGAATATAAAAAGAACCCTCAAAACTAATAGCAAATAAACCAAACAATTCAATTAGAAAATGGGCAAAATACATGAAAAGACATTTCACTGAAGAAAATACTGGGATAACAAATACGCACATGAGAAGATGTTCATCATTAACCATTAGAGAAATGCAAATTAAAAGCTGAGGGAAATATCACTACACACTTCTTAGAACAGTTAAAAAAAAAAAAAACTAGTGACAATGCCAAATGCTGGTAAGGATGTGGAGAAACTGAATTTCTCATATGCTGCTACAGAAAATGTAAAATGTAAGCCACTCTGGAAAGTAATTTGGCAATTTCTTCAGAACCTAAATATAAACTACAGACTCAACAATCAAACTTCTTGGCATTTCCTAGAGAAAGAAATACGTATGTTCACCCAAAAACCTGTACATGATTCTTCATAGCAGCTTTATTTGTAATAGCCCCAAACTGGAAACAACCAAAATGCCTACTAAACATGAATGGTTAAACAAACTGTGTGGTACATCCTCAGCAATAAAAAAGAAAAAAAGTATTGATATTCTTAACAACTTGGGTGGATCTGAATGGCATTATGCAGAGTAGGAAAAAATGAATGTAACAAGCTACTATAACGTGTGACTCTGTTTATATTACCCTTTGTCAAAAGTATAGAAATGGAGAACAGATCAGTGATTACCAGGGGTAGGGACTGACATGGGGGGGGGGGGACTTGGTATGGCTACAGAGAGATAGCAGGAGGGAGATCATTGTCCTGAAAGAATAGTTTTCTATCTTGATTTTGGGAATGGTTACAGGAATTTACACTTGGGATTCAATGATATAGACCTTACACACACATCCTACCTATGTCAAATCCTGGTTTTGTATTGTATCATAATCAAGTAAGATATAATCAATGGGATAAAAGATAAATATCTATAAATAGATAAAGGATACATGGGATCTCTCTCTACTATCCCTACAATTTTCTCCTTTCTTTCTTTTTTTCTTTCTTTTTTTCTTTCTTTCTTTCTTTCTTTTCTTTCTTTCTTTCTTCTCTTTCTTTCTTTCTTTCTTCTTTCTTTCTTTCTTTCTTTCTTTCTTTCTTTCTTTCTTTCTTTCTTCTTTTTTAGATTTTATTTATTTATTCACGAGAGACACAGGCAGAGGGAGAATCAGGCTCCTTGATGGGAGCCTAATGCGGGACTCGATCTTAAGACTCGGGGATCCATCGAGTCCCGCGTCGGGCTCCCTGCATGGAGCCTGCTTCTCCCTCTGCCTGTGTCTCTGCCTCTCTCTCTCTCTCTGTCTATCATGAATAAATAAATAAATAACATCTTAAAAAAAAAAAAAGACTCTGGGATCATGACCTGAGGCGAGAGCAGACGCTGGACCTCTGAGCCAGCCACCCAGGTGCTCTTACGCCTGCAATTTTCTGCGTGCTGTAATTATTCTTTGAAAATCCAGGAAAAACTAAAAATAGATCTCATGTTGCCTTGGCTAGCTGTGGCCCACATTACTTTGTCAAAGGAGAAACCTTGAGACAAATGAATGAGACCATATAATCTTTGTCCTTCTCCGATCGACTTACTTCACTCAGCATAATCCCCTCCAGTTCCATCCACGTCGAAGCAAATGCTGGGTATTTGTCGTTTCTATAAAAATAATTTAAAAAAAAATAGTGAAAGGGAATAAAGGGCAAAGGAGAAAAAAATGAGTGGGAAATATCAGAACAGGAGAGACTCCTAACCCTGGGAAACGAACTAGGGGTGGTGGAAGGGGAGGAGGGCGGGGGTGGGGGTGACTGGGTGGTGGGCACTGAGGGGGGCACTCGACGGGATGAGCGCTGGGTGTTATTCTGTATATTGGTAAATTGAACACCAATAAAAAATAAATTTATATAAAAAAAGAAAAGAAAAGAAAAGAAACCGTGAGACAGTAGAAGCCCTGACACTGGTTTGGCACAGGAGCATCCCGCGAGGCCTGGGCCTAGGGCGCCGGGGAGGTGTAGCGGGGCCCTGCGGGGGTGGGCGCCGCGGGAGCCGGCGGGGGCGGGCCGGGGCGGGCCGGGGCGGGGGGGGGGAGCAGAGCTGCAGCCCCGCCCCCTCCGCGGCGCCTGGAGCCCGGGCCGCGCGTGCACCCGAAGGGTGGGGACTGGGAGGCGTAGGGACCCAGCCTTCCCGACCGGCCCAGCAACTCGCGTTAGGGACCAGCGAGAGAACTTTCTTCGCGGACGAACCCTGGTGGTACCGGGACGGCGTCCCGCGCCTCGGCCTCGCGTCTCCCATCGCGGCCGCCCGGGGTCCCCCGAACCTCCGGGAGACCGAGCCCAGGCTGTCGGCGCGTCCGGGGGGCGGCGGGGGGGGGGTGCCCGGCCCCCGGGGAGCGCGCGGCATGCAGTCCCTGAACGTCACCCCCGAGCAGCTGTCCCGGCTGCTGCGGGACCACAACCTGAGCCGCGAGCAGTTCATCGCGCGCTACGGGCTGCGGCCGCTGGTCTACACGCCCGAGCTGCCGGGGCGCGCCAAGCTGGCCTTGGTTCTCACGGGCGTGCTCATCTTTGCCCTGGCGCTCTTCGGCAACGCGCTGGTGGTCTACGTGGTGACCCGCCGCAGGGCCATGCGCACCGTCACCAACATCTTCATCTGCTCCCTGGCGCTTAGCGACCTGCTCATCGCCTTCTTCTGCATCCCGGTCACCATGCTCCAGAACATCTCCGACACCTGGCTGGGAGGTGAGCCCGCCGCGCCCGCACCCTCCCCCCCCCAGCCTCCCCTGGGGCTCTCCTGCCCCTCTCTTCCTAACATTTCTCTGTCTACCAGACGAAGCCGGGGCTCTTTCTTAGAACCAACTCGCCTGCGCTCCCTTGGAGAGAAGTTTTTTGGGCCACTCGATTCGGTCTAACGTCTCTCCAACTTGTCGCTTAAAGACACAGGAAAATGTTAGGAAAGGTGCAGGGGAGGGGGGTTCGCACCGCTGATCAGTTGTTTGAGCTCCTTTTCCCATAATCGTACTAGTTTGTTTTCTCTTTTCTTATAAAAGTAAGATTAAAGTATTTCAAATAATAAAAAAACCAATATCCACTCTTTTCTCTTAAGTGAGCCTCCAGGCTCACCCCACAGTTGCTTCTGTGGCATCCAAACCGGTGAAACCAACTTACATGTATGTGTTCGGGGGGCGGTAGGGGAGGGGGGGGCAATCTCAAATTTCTTTCTTTCAAGATTGGATTCACAGAGTCAGGCAGGGAGAGGGAACAGAGAAGACATAACCCCCTCCTGATTGATAAAGGAGACATTGATTTCTCCCCTTTCCTTAAAGGGGGAGTGGAAAGGGCAGAGAAGCCATTCAGAGTCTTTGAGCCGGGAGCAGTACCTGGAGGTTGAGAAAAAATAGGGCACTTCCCCCAAAAGATCCAGTCCTTACAGACACACGGCTATAGAGCATCTTCTAGTCCATAAGCAGTAGTGTCCTCTATTGTCATGAGTGGTTTGTTTGTTTGTTTGTTTTTAGATTTTATTTATTTTTTCATGAGAGACACAGAGAAGGCAGAGACATAGGCAGAGGGAGAAGCAGGCTCCAGGCAGGGAGCCTGATGTGGGACTGGATCCCAGGACTCCGGGATCACGCCCTGAGCCAAAGTCAGACACTCAACCGCTGAGCCACTCAGGTGTCCCTGTCATGAGTGTTTAATGGTGTGCCTTGGGGAGGAAGCACTGGTTGTAACCCCACTGGCATGGAAGGGTGCATTCTTGAGACCACATCAACATTCTTAGAAAATGGTTGCAAATACAGAGAGGATTTGAGAGAAATGGATCATTATCTCTTCAAGCCCTGCCATTTCCACTCCTTTGCTGCTTCCTTTTAATCTCACAGAGAGTTTCTTTCATCCTACCATTAACAATTTGAGATCTCCAATTTCTTTCGCTTGCATTGCTTTTTGTTTTTCATTAATTTGCACTGGATTTTTTTGTTAGTGGATGAAGAGGCTAAAATATTTGATTCCCATCTCATCTATAATGTAAATATTTTCAAAAATGCACTAAACGTTAGAGAACGTAGTGTTGATGTGAGAGTGACACATAATGCAGGAAGTTACACTGACTATGGGTTACAGCCTTTCTAATGCACTCTGATGAAATCATCGTACTTGGGCATTTTAAAGTTGCCTGGTGCAACTCACCCCATAAAATTAATGGGTAAACTTTTATCATCATATATAACTTATTTTTTTGAGAGGAGTTTTCATTTTTACATATTTGTGAAGACAGATTTGTGAAGCACGTATGTATTATTGCTGGAGGATTATAGCTCTGTTTGTAAAGGTGAACATAGGAAATGTGGGATGTTATACTGGGAATCCAGAGACTGGATTACTACTTTGGCTCTGATACACGTTAATTCAACACATCTGGGCCTCAGCTTTTCAACACAGTATTAGGAATTCTGGAAGCTTGGAAATGGAATGAGGCAGATGTTTAGACCTTAGCCATACTGGGAGATTATGCCTGAGGAATACTCTAGGGTGGATCTTTCATCTCCAGGACTTAAGTGGGCGTGCAAAGTTTTCTTAAACTTTCTGTTTTCCTTGCTTCCTAGTTCATGGAAGACATTGCACTATAGCTTCTAAATGCTGAAAAAGGTCACTGTATTGTGCATGTATTTTACAGGTTGGGGTGAGGATAGAGTAATAGTTCAAAGGTAATCATGATTCATTATTTTATAAAGCTATTGAGGATCCTGATGGCAAAGCATTCTACCTTGGTAATACAAAAACTGAATAAAGCTTATCTGATCCCTTTTTGGGTCTCAGAAAATAGAAAATATCCCCAAATGAGCAAATATAGGATTTAATAGAAAAGGATCCACTCTGCTGTAGGAGCACAGAAGTCAGGAAGTTGTCCCCAAATAGGAGGCTTTTGACTTACGTATTGAAGAATGATTCAGATTGTTTCTAACAGAGAAAGAAGGATGGAGTGTACTCTAGGAACAGGGGTCAATTCAGTTTGGAGGAAAGAAAGAAGATGATGAAGTCCTAAGAACACCATGTAAGTCATTTCAAGAATATATAGTTTATATGTGAGCAATGGTGGGAAATGAGACAGAAAGGTAGGTTAGTGCAACTTGGGGAGGAAAAAGTATCAGTTATGCTAAACCTAAAATATGAATGCCCTTCAGATTCCTTCAGGGGTGTAGAAGGAACTATAAATAAAACAGTAGGGACCTCTAGAAGGCAACAGTGGCAGAGGAAAGCCTCAGTACCTCCCCTAAAGGCAGACTCCTGCAGGTAGGGGTGTGTGCCCTGAATTGTCAGATCTTTTGTTGTTGCTGTTATTTCTTTCTTTCTTTTTCTTTCTTTCTTTCTTTCTTTCTTTCTTTCTTTCTTTCTTTCTTTCTTTCTTTCTTCCTTCCTTCCTTCCTTCCTTCCTTCCTTCCTTCCTTCCTTTCTTTCTTTCTTTCTTTCTTTCTTCTTTCTTTCTTTCTTTCTTTTTCTTTCTTCCTTTTCTTCTCCAGAGCAGCTGAGAATATAGAATTTTGTGATCTTGGCATTTAGTTCAATTTTTTTTTTGGCATTTAGTTCAGATTTAAAAAGTAAAATGCAGTTGGGTAAAATAAAACCTTTCTGTGGGTTTGGCCACAAATAATTCATGGACCTCTGGTTTGTGACTTTCCTTCAAAGCCTCCCTCTCAAACATTTCTGACAAACATAGGGCTATACATGAGTTTTCTTCTTCTTTTTTTTAGTCCACTAATCTCCCTTGCTAGGGACCAACATTTCCTACTGAGTCAAAGTCTGCATTTGGACAAGATCCCCAGGTGATTCATAAACACATAAAATTTGAGAAGCACCACCATAAGTAGTGATTCGCAGACCTGGCTGCACAGAGAACCTCCTAAGGGGCTTTAAAAATGATCTGTGCCAGCCCCAGTCAACCAGTTACGTCTGACTCTCTGGAGCCAGCCTGCGCTCACTTACAGACCATTGTGCACATCTCTACCCAGTTCCCCATTCAGAGAAGTCATCTTGTTGGCTTGAAATCAGTCATGATAGGAGAATTTACACTGTGGACATCAGCAGCTACAAGCCAAATCTTTAAAAACAAACAAGTAAACAACTACACAAAACCACACAGTTGTTTTCCAGCACATCACCGAACAAAGACTTTGAGTTTTCTTTGGTATAGTGATGGCACCATAAATGATAGGTGCAACAAAGTGCATCCTTAAATATTTAGTTTATTTATATGAGTTACACTCATCTTAGAAGGAGATCTAAATTCAGCATCTAAGTGTTGCTCAGCATGGAGACAAGTGTATGTGGAGTCCTTCTATAAGTTTGGCATTACCATCCTAATGCCACTGCTCTTTGATCCACCAGTTGATTCGCTCCCACACCACTCCCCAGAATACCCAACACAGAGCTAGTAGGAGTAGGGATTCCCTTCCCCTAAGAATAGTAAGTAGCATTTGCTTATTTTTTTTTTAATCACTAATATAAGGATGGTGTTGTGTTGTCATAGAATTTAGGAGTTAGGTCTTGGAAGTCCTGTGTGCATTCTGCTCGCCAATCCAGCAGTGAACTCGCTCATTGTACTCTTGGGGCCAGGGAATTTATGTTTCCTTATCTGCAGCCTGTTCTTCCTCATTTTGTCTCTTTCTTACTTCTTTAATATCTTTCTTGGTAATATCTACATGTTCCTCCAAATTCACGACTATGTTCCTTTTTCTTTTCAACTAAATTCCATATAGTAGATTTTGCTTCTGAACAATGCCCCAGAACATTATTGTCTCTTCTCTAGGATTCCATAAGCTTGTCTTTTCCTTCTTAGTTTTCTTTATGTCTATCTCTTTCTTTATATTCTGCTCTTTGATGGCTCGCACACTTCCTCTTAGTTTTTGAGTGTGTGTCCACTGAAGCCTAGCACATGGTCTTTTCTTTCATCAGCCATTTCTGCCTAGAGGCTCCAATCAGGACCCTCCTTCCTTTGCTGATGATTCTGTAATCAGGATCTAATTATCTTCAGCTGTAATTCCTCTGCTCTCAGACTAGGCATTTACACATAGATATTTTGTTAGCATCCAACATTCTTTCACCCTACCTTGTCTCTCTGCCCAGGGTCTAAACTATTATCAATAGTACTCTGAGTCATTTTTGTATTCAGCTTTTTCTGGGTATCTGCTATGTGTACCGGGATATTATAGGTGTAGAAAAGTTATATCCATAATTGCTAGGTTTCAGTTAGAGGAAGAAGGGGAAGGTGGCATTCAAAGAAAAAATGGAGAAGGCAGGGGATTTTGTTGATGTCAGAGTTCCAGAGTGCACTGTGGAGAAAGCACAGGGCAGGTGTTGAGGAACAGGGAGGCTTGAGTCAGAATGGGGATGTTTAGAGCCTGGACTGGGTCCAGAGACAAGGGCTAGTCTAGGAGAATGGGACTCATGGTGACTGAAGTTAAATTTGATCTTAAAACATGGAGGGATTAAGTCTGAAGAATTCCCAGAAGGAGGTAGAAAACCAATACTCATTCTAGCCTCCTTTATGGCTCTCAGCATTAATGAATTGAGAGGGGGAGGTGCTGATGGCCTTGCCAGGAGCCACAGGATTATCCTAGTTTTTATCCTGGGTAAGCTCACAGCCAGGGGAAGGGATGGTCTCCTCAGGTGCACCCAGAGCTCTCTGCACCTCCATGCAATCCTGCTGTGGGCACTGAAAAGAATTTTCTAAGGAGGACTGGTAA